GTGCGTGCGTGTATGTGTGTGTGTGCATGTGCGTGCGTGCGTATCTGTGTGTACCTGTGCATATGTACCTAATGCGTGCGTGCGTGCGTGCGTGCGTGCGTGATGAGTTGCTAGAATGGTGAGGCAGAATTTCCCTCGTGAGTATATAATCAGATAACACACACTTAACACATAAAACACGAGAAAGTGTATATCATATGTGGTTAACGTAGATACAATTGTTTTACTCAAGTATATTATGTACATAGTTTACATTCATACAATTATCATGCTAGTGAAACTCGTGCTATCCTGCCCAGCGTAGCAGCCAGTACAGACAACAGAGCGTGTGACGTCATCCTCCTGCTGTTCTCTAGCAGACACATAGAATACAGACGATCACCTTGTAAGGATATTTGCATACGTCACCGTATCGTTACAGGTACGATAAGAGAGTAACAGGTTCATATAACGTAACTCCGCGTGTGAGGTTACACGTAATTATATATATATATATATATATATATATATATATATATATATCTATCTATATATATATATATAGATATATATAATTCGGCTGACACTAGCACGTGGTTTACAGTTCATTCATCATTGTTCGCTCTACTGTTTCACGTGATATTAATAGCAATAAAGCTGACGTGCAGTGCATTAGTTTTTAACACCTGGGCAATCCGCGACGCCCGGACTAAAAACAAGCGATCTCTTTCACTCAAACGCGCATGTTTGAACCGAGACATGAATTCGCTAGGAACTCCGAAAGCAGCCGTGCATCCGTCTGTTACCATGGGGACGGTTTTAGGAAGGATATGCAAGAATTAAAGACATTCAGACAGTCTCTACTCCACTACCATATAATGCCTCACAACGGCACTGAGCTAGAGCTGCAAACTGACGAAAAGCAGTCTTTAATATACACCCGAGAATACCGTATATCTCTACGCTAATAATATTTATCATTTCATACACGTTTCCTCTCGCTGCCTAAAACGTGAGTCGTGCTGTTAGACTGATGTGTTGTCACAGTAGACTGATGTGCTGTCACAGTAGACTGATGTGCTGTCACAGTAGACTGATGTGTTGTCACAGTAGACTGATGTGCTGTCACAGTAGGTTGATGTGCTGTCACAGTAGACTGATGTGTTGTCACAGTAGACTGATGTGCTGTCACAGTAGACTGATGTGCTGTCACAGTGAACGACACTATAACGTGCCTGTGACAGCACATCAGTCTACTGTGACAGCACATCAGTCTACTGTGACAGCACATCAGTCTACTGTGACA